TTAAAACGTGATACGTATCTCGTTAAAACGTGTTATGTATCTCGTTAAAACGTGATACGTATCTCGTTAAAACGTGTTATGTATCTCGTTAAAACGTGATACGTATCTCGTTAAAACGTGATAGTATCTCGTTAAAACGTGATAGTTTCTCGTTATAACGTGATACGTATCTCGTTAAAACGTATTATTATCTCGTTATAACGTGATACGTATCACGTTTTAACGAGATAACTATCACGTTTTAACGAGATACTATCACGTTTTAACGAGATACGTATCACGTTTTAACGAGATACATAACACGTTTTAACGAGATACGTATCACGTTTTAACGAGATACGTATCACGTTTTAACGAGATACGTATCACGTTATAACGTGATACGTATCTCAAAATTTTTTTTTCCTGCGTGATAGCAATGCGCTTCCGTACATTACTCAAGAACAGACTGAAAAACTACTATGACTGCACCTCAACAAATTAAAATTTCATCAGAGGGCGATTTTTTTTTCAGTAATAATGTTCAGAAAATGAAACTTGTATTTAGTTTTGCGAAAGAAAAAAATATTAGAACAAGAGTAATTATTAAGTAAGTATTTCTTGTATTTATGTCTGTTAAATGGGATGATTACATTTGACAAGTAAAAAAAAAAATCAAAGTTCAGTTTGAATAAAATGTTAATGAAAGACTGCTAATTTAACAATTAGACAGGCACCAATAGGTTACAAAAGTTCATTGCAAAGAACAAAGTCTATTGCCAGAGGGCTGTATTCAAACATATTAAGAAAAAAATAATTAAAGACTAAAGTTGTGGTGGGAAATAAAGCACACTACCCATGGAGATAACTGCAGTCCTGAGAAGATTTGTCAGAGAAGCTCATTAAACAGTTTTGAGTAAATTAATAGGCTGGGGTCCATGGTTCATTTCATTTATAAAACTGAAGGTTGCTTTTAAAGGAAGCTAGATCACCTCAAGCTGATCAACTCCATGCCACGCTGGACAAATTTGGTAAATCATGGAAAACACAACCTCTACACTATAGATAACATTGTTGTATTAATGTTGCTGTCATTACTTACCGGAGGTCCTGGGAGTCCCTGAAAGCCATCAGGTCCTCCTTCACCTCGAATCCCTTTTCCTCCAAAAGGACCTGAGCGACCGGGTAGGCCTGCAGGACCACGCTTCCCCCTGCCTCCCTGAGCACCTGGCTCACCTCTGTCTCCAACCTACAGATCATTAATTGCACAGGGAGAGGATAGAGCAGCAGATCAGATATAAAAGAAAAGTAAGCTCAAAATTTAGGCCTCTACAACACAGCTACCAGAGTCAAAATAGAACAAACCTGCTTACAATAAAAACAAATTCCTGATCTTATAATAAAAGCCTAGAGTGTGGTGGTTGTTGTTGTTGTTGTTTTTTTTATTGTTTTGTTTTTACAAGTTTGAATATTTGAACAACATACAAGCATGAACATTTCAAAACAGAAACCAAATGTGACAGATAACATTTGAGAAATGTGCAAGACTCATTTTGTCGTAGCAGTGGGCGTTTCTGCTCTTATCGCATCTGCAGATGCTCCAGATATGTAAGGAATGTTATTTGATGGATTCATGTTGGACTTTTCCAACTATTAACTTTGCAAGTGCCATCAAATGAATGGAGATGATCCCAACCAAAATATAGTCAAGAGTATCATATTTATATATGACACACCTGCTCGAGTTTTCTGCTGAATGACAGAACTCACCATTGGCAATTGATTATTATTTTATTTTTATAAACTGAAATCATTTCCATAGGGTCAGTAGTTTTGCTGCACGACTGGCTATAATCTATTTATATTAGATGAGTTCTGTTCTTTCAATACATAGATAATTCGATCAGTTTCAGAGATTGGTCACCCTACTATAATTATTATCAGTAGTTTAGACTGAAGCTCACCCTTCCATTTAGGCCTTTCACTCCTTTTGCTCCCTGTAAAAACACGTAATTAAGTATTGAAAAAACAGAAGTAAGAGAAATAATGTCAAACAAAAGAACATATTCAATACGTGAAGCCTTACCTCTGCACCTTTAACTCCTTTAATTCCTTGGATTCCTGTGTCACCCTGTGCAAAACAAATTAAATGTAAGAGCTCGCCAATAGATTGTAGATTAAATATCCCAAAATAAACTGTGTCCTATTTTGAAAGAAAAAATATACTGTATGAATAAAAAATAGAAAAAATTTGGGTTCACAATTTTCTTTTACCTTTTTTTTTATTTCACTTTTTTTGGCCCATGTTTAGCTATTTGTTGTAAATTATTGTAATCACCATAAAATGCAATGATCAGATTAGACTTTATGGTGTTTCAACTGATCAGTCCTGCAGCTTATGTAGAAAAAGCACTTAACAGATGTTGTGTCTTACTGAAGCCAGTATGTGTGGGACTGAGGCGTAACCTGACAAAGTGCAAGATTTCAGGTCAAACCATCAACTTTGCAAAGCTGCAAGTTCATGGAGGAATAACACTGAACAAAAACAACAAAATTCCTTTCATTTTCTCTCTGCAGAGTGTATCAGCTTCATTTTTTTCACTGACAAGTGCTAATCTTCATGTGTAAAATTTGGCATACTTTTCAATCCCTAAGGAACAATCCTGTTCATTCTCATTAAATTTAATGTTTATTAACTCATACTTGCATGCCTCTAAATATATTTTTTTGTTGATTTTTATGCTATATGTATATGTAGATGCAACTCTCTGCTCCAAGCGTCGTCGGTTCTTTCCGATTAGATTTGTTTACTTTTGCCAGAGCATGCCAAGGAAACTCGAACAGCTGTTTGTGCTTTCTGGAAAATCTGTCATCTTCGTTGGCTTGGCTTGGTCTGTAAATATCACGAACAGGCCCAGAGGGGCACTTTGGTAATTATGCACTCTCATTACAAGCGAGGGGAGTAAAGCCTCAACAGCAGTTATGTATTTACCATTTGCATGCACTGCATTGCAGAAATTTAGGTGACACTTTTAAGTAGTCTGTATATTAACTCAGTGGATCTTTAGTTGAGTTCCTAAAAGTGCAACATTTCTTTCAAAACCAGTAAAAAGTATAGGTTTGGAAAGACAGTGCATCTGAAAAACGTGTAATCTTTGTGACTCAGTGACTCAGAAAATAAATCCTGAGTAGCCACCATGAAACATTTCGCTCTCTCTCCAATGGTCAGAGGATGTTTTACCTTGATTCCTGGTTTTCCAGGTACACCCACGTGACCCTGTAAAGAGTTAACATGCTTTAATTGATTGAGGGAAATTAACTGGTGTTTGAAAGAGTCAAGAAAATTCTTTGGGAGCACTTACAGTAGGTCCAGGTGGACCAATAAATCCAGGTCTTCCTGGCTTTCCCGCAGAACCTTTGTAACCGCTCAGTCCCTTGAGAGTAAGACATTTATAAACCAATGGAGAGTCTGCTTTATTCTTTGTCGTTTCCCTTTAAGATGGCAAACTACTTTACAGACAAAATGTATTATATGCTTGTCTGCAGCGACTGAAGGGCTTGAAAATGTGACTTACAGTTTGGCCTTGGGGACCCATTTCTCCTGCTGGCCCCAGGGTGCCCTTCTCTCCCTGTAAAAAAAATAAAATAAAAAATACAAATGGCAATAAATCAATCTGCCAAAAACAACTCCATTTCACATTTATTTACGGAACCGAAAAAAGATCAGACCTTTCCACCGATACGCCCAGGTTTTCCACTGAGACCCTGGGGTCCTTGATATGCCTGCAAGAAAAAAGATTACATTTACAGGATAATGAGAGGACGCTCAAAAAACTCAAGAGAAATGTATAAAACAGAAGCTAATACCTCTATTCCTGGATCACCATCTCTACCAGGTAAACCCGGATCTCCAATAATACCCTAGAGATGTCCAAACCATTAGTAAAAAGTGTACTAAGTATTTCAAACGTATGTTAGTGTCATGGTTCTCAGACTGGTGGTTTGTTAGCTGCCATTGGTGTTGAAAAGGGTTAGGGTTGGAGTATGCAAGGAAAACTTAAATCTGTGCAGGACATTCACACAAAAATTTAATAAATGATTTAAAGAGTTGCGACAGACTGGCGACCTGTCCAGGATGTACCCCGCCTCTCGCCCGGAACGTTAGCTGGAGATAGGCACCAGCACCCCTCCCGACCCCACTGAGGGACAAGGGTGTTCAGAAAATGGATGGATGGATGGATTTAAAGAGTGCATTGCAAATAAAAGCATTTATTACTGCTCAATCTGGCAAGTTAAGGCCATACTGTCTGGCCTCGATCTTCTTGCTGCTTTTCTCTATGATTCGTCTCAAAGCTCAACTTCAGCAAGCTTCCAAGAGAAGGAGACTGACTAGCAGGTGACTTTGTGAAACACTTGACAATGTCACACTACAGAGTGAATAAGAAAATGTTTTATGCCATTCTTTTTTTCCTACCACACTCTTAAAATAGAGCGAAACATTGAATGTAAACCAACTATCAATGTAGTTGATAGTTTGACCTCAGAATTGGACCATGGGTGGTGCTGAAATGACTTGGGTTCCATCAATCTCTAAATTTAGAACTTACATATGAAAATGACTCAAAATCCAACTTAACTGTGTTACAGTTCCAAGTTTAATATCCAGTGGGATGTGATAATTGATAGATTCAGCGGTCAGGCTAACTGCAGCAGCAACACAGACTTAGGAAAACATATTTACTACATTTTGATTTCTGCAGCATCATGTTTACTAAAGTAAGTCGAGAAGTGCTGAATGTACAAAAGACCTCATGAGAGAAAATGTCAAATGTGCAAATAAATGCTTTATAAGCAAGGCAACCATATTGGACAAAGAGTTAAGAGCTGAGAGACTTTTTACCTCTCAGAATTCCAACTTATAAGGACCTTTCTCATCATTTTCTACACTAGGAAAATGTAAAATTGTCAGTAGAAGAAAGAAAATTGAAAATGCATCATTTGTCCAGTTAAGCACATACATTTTTTTTTTTTTTCACCGAACAGGAAATGTCAATTTCCTGTTGTGACGTTTAAAATATAAAATATCAGGGAAGTTGGCAGTACTTAGAAAACTTAACATTTTTTGGCATACTTGTGATACAAAATGTGAGAACCATTGTGTTATGTAATGCAGTGTTTGTGTCGGCTTTATCATTACTTTTGATCCTATAGTCCCAGCTCTGCCTACAGATCCTTGGATACCCTGAATTTTACAAGTAAAAAAAAAAAAAATCACATTAATTCCACTTAACATATATTTGTTTTCTTTGATCATTTTTGATATCCTTTTTTATACTCACTGGCCTTCCCTTCTCTCCAGGAGCTCCCCTTTCTCCAGGATCCCCTACAATACCCTGTCAAGTCAGCATGTGAAACAAAACCGATGAGAAAGTTACTCTGAAGGCGACATCCATAAGACAACACAATGAACGGGGAAGCCCTCTTTCATTTACAGCACAAGGAATTATCAATGCGACTTAGGCTCTTCTTTCAGTGACTCATTCGCTCATGTTGATACAGTTCAGGCCTTTACATCTGCGCCAAAATCCAGCCACATGAACTAATGCTGTTTATGGAAACGGCACAACAGCCAAAAAACCCACTGCAGTCTGATTCCAGTGTTTTACCCCGTCAGAGATGATTTAATAGCCCTCTGTGGTCACATGGGGGGATTGTGAACATAGAAACAAAACATTAAGCATGTCCCACTGTGGATAATGGAACAGGGAATCCCACCACAACCCACCTGCTTTCCTCTGGGTCCAAGCCGCCCCGTAGCCCCAGAATTCCCTTTTTGGCCCTGAAAATGCAGAGCGATGAGGTCTGATGATTTAAAATGAGAAGCAAATCATCTAAATAGGAAAGACCCACAAATACCTTCACTCCTTCAAACCCCGGAATCCCTGGATATCCTTGAAGCCCTTTAGTGCCCTTAAAGGAGATAAAAGAGTAATTAATACAGCAGTTATATTGAAAGGGTTTTACTCCTGAAACTGAACAAGTCACCATACCACTTCTCCTGCTTTCCCAGCCTCCCCAATGTCTCCAGGAAGTCCACGAATTCCCTTTGATTACAAATAAGTCCAATTAAAAGTTAGCTTTGAAATCATGCAGCTGCAGCAACAAACATACCTTAAAGCCCGCAGCTCCTTTTAGTCCTTTCAGCCCTTGCGGACCTCTCTCTCCCTGCGAACACAGCATCCCGTTCATGCACACTTGTGGTGTTTCATCATAAATGATAGGATGAACAGAAGCAATAAATTACCCTTTGTCCCCAGGGTCCTCTCATCCCTTTTTCTCCTTTGATTCCTTGCTCGCCCTGAGGATGTGCACATAAGTCTTCATTAATTCAGTCTATGCATGAGACAGCAAAAGAGCGGAGCACTCAGGTACAGAGACGAAGCTCACCTTCGGTCCCGTCTCACCAATGTTTCCGTAGTCCCCTGTGTTTCCACGGATTCCCTACAAGAAATCACAAGCGTGACTTGTTGCCCTGCAGCACTTTGAATTTGTTGTTTATACTGAAGCTGTGCTCTTGTAACAAGTGTAGGATGTGGTTTGTGATTTTCTTGCTGATATCACCAAAGAAATAAATAGAAATAAACAAATCGTTCAAGCAACACACTAACCTAAGATTTAAGCCTGGCCTGCAGCTTTTGCAAGCCGTGTAATATGAACCCACTTTTAATCATTTCAAAACCTGAAGGTAAGTCCAAAATTCATTTATTTTGTAAAACAAACAGAGCTAAAAGTACATTTTTTACAGTTTGAATTTTTTCATGATTTCTTTGTACTATTTTGAATTTAATAGGTTTGAAATTTCCAAATAGAAGTACGTTTTAAATTATATTATAGAAAAGTTTATTCATTTCAACTGAAAACTGAAACTTATTAGACATTTATTACACAGAGTAACATATTTTTATTATTTATCCATAGTAATTTAGGTGATTAGACATCAAGATTTAATTACAAAAATAAAAGTATACAATGATTTTTATGGAAATTTTGCAGATACTTTTTGACAGTAATCTGAATGCTATGCCCTTCACAATCATGGGCATGAATGAGACTGCTGACTTGACAGTTGTCCAGCGAAAGGTCACTGATACACTCCACAAGGGCGATAAGTCTCACAAGGTCATTGCTGTATCCAAGTACATTAATGGAAAGTTGAGAGGACAGAAAAGTATTGGAAGAAAAATGTCATTCAAAAATTAAAGAGAAATTTGCTTCTGATTCCTTGTATTGTGTTGAGCAGATGAACTGAAAACAACTATTAAAACAATATGGGCTTCCTTAGTGCCTCACAAGAGCCATAGGATGTCTTTACCTGTAAGTAATAATGTTCTAAATCAATAAAAAAATTAACTAATGTATCATCCTGTGTGCAATTTACTAAAATGCACCTGTTATTGTGTTGTTTCTTTTTGTTTCATGGGATTTTGGGGATCCTAACTTTGCAAGGGTTGCATTTATCACATTTGCGGAAAAAAATAGAAAAGCCAGATTCAGGAAACATTAGTCATAAATACAACAGTAATTGTTTGCACAGATGGAGACTTCCTGAGTTGTAGATGGAAAAGCGCTTTCCATTGCTTTGCCTGCATTAAACCGAGACAACAAACTGTCGAAACAAGGCCCGGACACCTCTGTGTTGTCAGTTTATTTGACCATTTCACCTAACTGTGTGCATTCAGTGGAGACAGCTGGACAGAGGTTAACCTCAGAGATTTTGTGACATTTATTGCATTTATGTGGGCCGGACAGCTTGTCCAACTGAAGGACCACCCACCACCTGAGATGGGCATATCCATGTACCTGTGCCAGTACATGCCCTCCTTGGATGCCGTCGAGAAAGCACATAAGTTGTGGCTTTGTGATTCACAACCTGGCAGGAGCTCAAAACTTTAAACCAGTTACTGGAGACAGATGTTTCCTCCCAGATGAGCTACTGCAACAACTGAAGACATGAACATGTAGCATGTAGAGCTCTGGAAATGTGCTCTGGATGTATGTCCATCTACATGTGTTTCTTCAGGCACCGGAACGAGTTTTGTTTGAGTCTGCGGACAAGATGAACGCCAAACCATCACATGTTTAAAAAAAAAAAAAAAAAAACGGGAGAAAAATCTCCGTCTTAAACACGTATTCTCTTGAGGATTATTAAAACTCTCGGAGTTTTACTGCAAAGCATCAAAGAGATTAACAAGACATAAATTCAAAGTGGAAATAACAGCGTCTGTGGTTCGCTCTTGTATGTGCAACTGGCTCCTTTAGCGGGGGATTTTCTTCTGTAATAATACCTTCCATGTTTCCCCACCCCCAATATGGTCTTCCTGAGATAAATCTGTCTGATTATTCACATGAATATCACCATAGGAAAGCAGTTTGGTTAAACAGCTTTACCCGTGCTCATTACCAGATCATCGGAGGGTACAGTTATTTTTACAGTTAGTTTTTTTTCTGCATGTGGGACTCATTAGAACATCTGGCTTGGTTTCTTCCCAAACTCAAAACCATTGGAAATCCTCTTATCTTGAGCCAGTTTGAGAGAAATCCTTCTTTGAAAACTGACGGGGTTAACACTTTAATACTGAAATTGCTATTTCGGAACTGCAAAAACAAATTCTGTACCATTATGTGTCTATTTTGTGTTTATCTCAGACTCCTTAAAATAATCGTCACAAGACTACACTCGGAGCCCTTGTGTTTACAATCACTAAGAGCCTTCGTTTCGAGATCTGTTTCCATTCATTGGTGTCTCAGTCGAGTTTCTTACTTGTATTTTCCACAGTCTTACACTGTCACTTTAGAGTCAACTCAACTCCTCAGGGTGCAGCGAGAACAACTCAATTGTACTCATGCTGAGAACATGAATCATATTGTATTGTGCAAGTCTCGATGCTTGCATGACAGTTTAACATGTTGTATTTATTTACCCAGTTGCCCAGTCTTCCTTGGTCTCCGGGTTTTCCTGGAAGCCCTCTGTGACCCTATGGATCAGGAGGCATGCATGTCAGAATAGTTTCAAGTCACGTACAACAAGTTTTCCATGCAGGTGCAATCACCTTTGGCCCCGGAGAGCCCTGAAATCCTGGTTGTCCATGCATGCATTTACAAGTTGCTCTTCCAGCTGTGAGGCCGATCTCTGCATATCCCCCGCACTGGGCAGACAGACACCAGCGTAGGTTTGAAGCTTAACGCTTTTGTATAATAACTGAAGTGCATCAACGTTTGAGGCTGAAAAGGCAGAGTTTACATATGCTTGTGATGAACATGAGTTTGTCACGAGCATATGTATCACATTAAAGTTGTACTTAATCACATGAAGGAAACATTCTTTTTCAGGTAGGGAAAATTTTCATACAACGCATTTCTTAAGTGATTTACTGGAATTGGATGTTGAAGTTTAAATTGATTGAGAATTTTTCTTCATTTGCACTGGATCAAAATTGTACATATACACATATATCACACATGTCTGATTTTACTCATAAGTGTTTTATAGAAAAATTAACAATAAATTCAAACTTATGCACCTGTTTCTAGATTTCTCAGATTATAGAAGTTGTTTGTTGGATGGTCATTCCACTCTGGGGGAAAAATGGCTAAAATGCTCCATTAATAACCCAACACTAATGTGACAATTATGCCCATGATGAGTGTATGGAAACATCTCTTTAGCACTGTAGATGACTTACCACACCGGAGAGCTCACAGCAGCTCTCTGAATAAGCCTGCTCTGGATCACAAGACACTTGCATCTGCTGGAGATCCACCTAGATGACAATAAGACGTAACAGAAAATGAATAATTTTATTAACACTTCGACAAATTTCATTGTTACCCAAATACAAAAGATTACAACATACGGAAGCGGATCGGTCTCCTGCAGCCCGTTTCACGATGGATGTGTAGCCTTGTCGGATGACTGGCCTCGGCTCATCGATGCTCTCCACTCTGATCTCCTTGCAGTCAATCAGCAGCCTTACTTGGCTGCCCTTTACGCTCAGAGCCAACTTGTGCCACTCCCTGTTAAACAATTTTTGCAAACCTTGGAAAGTCCTCACCATCTGCGTCCCCTGTGGACCAGTGTAAAAAAAGTCCAACGACCGTCCATCAGGCTGGAAACGCAGGCCGACTTGTTCTCGTCCTTCTGGGTCACTGACTTGCCAAAGGTTCCAGGACGTCTGAGCAGTGTCATTGGTCACTTTAAATGTTGTTATAATGGAGTATTCAGTGGGAAGTCCATCTGGATACACATCACTGTGCAAAAAGACTGAGATTAAGATTCAAAGAGCTGAATAAATCTAAAAGCAAATAAAAAAAAGAAACGCTGAAGAGCTTTTGGTGAAACAGATGGGTTTCATAAACTAAATTCAATTGAGAGTAAAATGGACCAACCATGATCAAATTCGGATTTTTGAAACATCTGCAATACCCACATATGCTTTTTGTGAAATGGTTAACATCAAGTTATGATACTCCAGATGAAAATTAAGATCATTTCCAATCCCGTTAACCTCACAATATAACCACAGCAGCAATTTGAGCACTTTATTTGGAGGTAAATCTCACCAGTTGCAAATTTTTATTATCTGTTAAGTTTTCTGTGTAATCTTATCACAGTCCACGAAATGCTTTACAAAATATCGTACTGCTTTGCTCTAAAGAAGACGAGTTCAAATCCATCCCTCAAGGGTTGGCATCCTGAATGTTTGAGGTCTTGGCCTTGTTCAACACACTTGAATCAAACAACGATTCGTCAGCAGGCCTGTGCAGAACTTTGACATGCTGAGGAGTGAGTTGGACCATTTGAATCAGCTGTGTTGGAGCAGAGACACATCTAAATCTGGCAGGAAACCGGCCGTTGAGGACTGGAGCGGGACACCCATGATCTAAAGCATTTTACTGTAGCGTTTGCTGTATGTTCCAGGACATTGTCCTGCTGGAATGTAAACCTTGGAGAGAAGACCTTAGCCAAAGGGAAGCTTGAACACAGTATTTCTATCAGAAGAGGACAACAGATGGTGCAGCAGTGAATATTATTCACAACATGTTGCTTATAGTAACAGAAGATATGTTTCTGAAATTGCTTTTTTAAAAAGGAAAGAAAATACATTTAACAGGCTTTAAACGCGTGCAAACATAGTTATCTTTTATGGAATACATGCACATGTAAGCATGGACAGGTAAGTGAAACCAAGTCAGCTTGAATGCATAATTTTCTTTTCATGTAATACTACTGTATTATCTAGTGAAGAACAATACCTCAGTGTCTTCTGTAAATGAATGGAGGGGTTGATGCGGTAGGCCACTGCCTCAGCTTCAGACCCATCCACTCTCTTCACTCCTTTCGACTCAGGAACATGGAACTCCTCCAGCAGATCAAAACCTCACAGCACAAACATTTAGTCATAGTTTGACGTCACTTCAGTTTAACAATTAGAGTAGCTGGTCTGCTTCTGAATCATACGTCAGGGCTGATATCTCTGATTTCTGTTAAGTAGCTACATTACTCAGTGTTGTGAATAATGACATAATCCATCAAAGCCATTATGCTCGAGCAGCATGTTTATTTTTCCTAAAGGTGTATTTTGGCTCCTGAACTCTCAACACAAGGTGATTTGTGTTTGAGTTCGTATTACCCCAGTGTGACTTTAGTGTGTCTTTTAAGGCAAGAAATTGTGAATGAAAGCTGGACGAGGTTCTGATTTCAGATATTTAGACGTAAGCAGAGGAAATGTCCTGTTTTCTCTCCTAACCGTACTGTACATTTTTATTGGCAGTTAATTCAGTCAAAGAAGCATTGTGCCAGCTGGTTAATTTACCATGGCATCGAGCCCCAGTGGCAGCACATTGAAGCTTTATGTACACACATTAACCTCAGGATGACCTCAGAACAGCTACACTGACTCTACTGGAAATACTGACTGAGCAACGATGAACTGACACACACTGACACCTGCTGGTCACACTGTGGAAATACAGCAACCATGGTGAAAAATAAATAAATAAAAAAGAAATCTTCACAAATGTTTTTTCTCTAATTTTACCAGATTGCCTGTTTTGATTCAGCTATCTCTTTAAAAGGTGAGATTAGAATTGCATAATCATGCTCTACCAACATACTGTTTCTGTGTGTAGAATGTCAGATTTATTTAAACATGCTACGTTAATGCAGATATCGCATGATTTAAACTTACTTGGCAATTTTTGACAATGGACTGACGCCGAGATGGAAACGATTGCCACAAACATCAGCATATCCCTGAAGACTGGCATTTTTGATGCTTAAAGACTGGAGTTTAAGAGTACCTGTGATACAAAAGTTCAGTTTAAGTCATGTAAACTAAATAAGATCAAGTCAGACTAATTGGTGCGTTGCATGATTAAATAGGAACCTTATATTCAAAATCCAGTGCTTAAATATATCTCATAAGTAAGTAGGAAAGACTGAAGTAGAAAATAGAGAAAGATAAAACTAACTTAAAACAATATTTAAATGTGAACTTGTTAGCAAATTAAGCATCCTAACCAGTCGAGGCATTTTCTTCTGAATTTCAGGTGAGTAGTTCAAACATCAATGGCTTAAGGTTAAATTGCATTCAGTTTTATACCTGACAAATAGGACAGAACATACATGTAATGGGTATGTAAATCAAACAAATTAAATTTCATCTTTATATATGACCAACCAAAATTACAAAGAGGTCCATCATCTGTCCCAACCGTTCACAACGTATTTCTAAATAGAGAGAGAGAAAAAAAAACTGTAAGTTACTCACATGTTCTTGACGTTTTCAGGGCTCCTGCTGACAGAACGTATGCAGGTCCTGCAGTGATGATATATCCCAGTTTAAAGTGCAGCCTGAGGGCCTGGGTTTATGCTGAACAGGAGGGCCATTCACACAGAGAGGTTCAGGAGCCCAGAGGAGCCTGTCCCCTGAGCTCCACTCCACCTGTGGTCCCTAAGGGAATCTGTCTCTCCTCATAGGCCAGCAAGACAATGGTCATATTAACGGACCTCAGTCTGCCAAACTTGTTTAACATGTGGAGCAAAAGGCAGATGCAGCAAGTTGGAACATTTAAAAGGTACAATACCTAAAGTGTTGAAAATGCAAGACAATTAGGCCTTCAAGAAAATGTCCGTAAGTGGCTTTGCGCATTGGTATGGAGTGTACGTTTTGTAGATCTTAGAAATTTGATTCCAACAAAATCTTAAATATACCCTATTTTAAAGTAGATTTTAAAACATTTTTTTTAAAGATAAGTGTTTCATCATCTACACTTTTTAGCTGAGAGGAAGGCGTAGTATTTCACAGCTAAACACAAGGTGTTCTGCAAACATTCCAACCCGACTGAATCACCACACAGAAGATCAGTGAAACACTATTTACAAAAGATAACAGCTAAACAGCACACACTCGGTGTCCTGTGCAGTACTCATGGCCAGTTGAACCTTTCTACTTCTTGCCACATGACATCCACAAACCACAATATGCTTTATTGAGATTTCATGTGATACACCAGAACAAAGAAGCACATCATCGTGAATCAGTTTTTAACAGAAGTATAATAAAAAAACTTTAAAAAACGAGGCACACATCGGACAGGTCCGGGAGAAAACAACTGAGAAGTTGATTTGATAAAACAATGTTCCAAGTTTTGCATTGTTCGATCATATTTTCCAGAAATGGAAAAAAACTATGCCATAACATCAGGTTGTTCTTCAAACAAAATGCTACATGTGGTCGAATGCTAACACTTAAAGACATTAATGTTGGTGCAGAGCTCATCTTCCAGAAGAACAGTGACATTAAAACATACAGCTAGGACTTTATGTGAATGTAGGGGTGGAGGTGGGGATTAGCCCACACCTATTTCCGTTTTACAATTTGTAGCAAGACCACTTTGCTAAGAAAAACACACCAGTTTCAGTGTACAGTTGAGTGAGGCTAATGAAGACATGCCTCAAAGAGCATGCAGCTGTAATTAAAGTCGTGTCCTAGAAAGTTTTGACTTCGGGGGATTGGATGAACACAACACACTCTGAACTTCTATTTGTACATATAAAAAAAAAAGTTATTTTCCTTCTTTACAACTTTGTTGGTGTATCAGAAAAGATTTCGATGAAATGCATAGAGCAGGGGTCCCCAAACTTTTTCTTGCGAGGGCCACATGACTGTTCCCTTTTCTGGTCGGGGGCCAGTCTTAGTTTTTCGAGAAAGAAACCTTAGAAAAGTTTTGTGGAGGGGGGGGGGGGGGGAAAGTGAAACTGTGGACCGGGGGGGGGGGGGGGGGGGTTACTGCCGACGACATATTCGCGTTTGTAGATAGATTTTTACCCAGGATGCAAATGGAAAAAAACCGTGAGCGAAACGGTGACTGGTACTGACTAGTATATATTCCATTGAGGGAAACTCAGTTTCATATCTGCTCAAGAGCCCCCCTGGTGGTTGAAGAAAAATCCACATATATATGAAAAAAAAACACTGAATGCTCGCTGGTATTTTTCAGGGGGCCGGACCAAATGAGGAGGCGGGCCAAATCCAGCCCACGGGCCGTAGCTTGGGGACCCCTGGCATAGAGTGTTATCATTCAAACTCAACAAAATGTGAACAAGTTAAATTGGTGGCAATACTTTTTGCTTGCCACTATAATTCAAAAAGCGAGAGAAGCACAGACGATGGCAGGGTGGCTTTTTGCAAGCAGATTTATTACAAAGTAACATTACAATAACAATTTCAGCTCTATTGAAATGAACCATACACAGACATGAATGCACACAGAATGGCTACATGGAGTGGCACTTCATCAAGGCCACACATCGCTGCGAAATGGAGGAAACAAAGTAGGAGCTGTTGTGGCAAACAAACAAAAAGCGTGAGGATTACAAGGCTTCTGCTACTTCTCCCACGCAGGAGTTTTCAAAGGTTTTTGGAGTGCTTACTAGAGTTTAGTGTATTATATTGCATTGCCCTTTTAAATGCAAGGTGGCAGTATGATAAAGCACTTAAATATATATTTGCAGTGCCTCAAGCGGTACGATATTGCACCAACTACTCCAAAACATCAGCAGGCATAAGTTACAGTACATTCAGTTACTTTTAAAACGTTCTCCTGCTTTCTGCCCTTCATTAGAGTGAAGAAAAGTTAATTTTACCATTTAGCATGGTTATTCCCAGATTTTTTTCCTTTTTTTTTAGTGTTTGTCAAACCTCTACAGGATTTGCATAAATAAAATTAAATACAATAAAAAACAATTTGACATTTGTTTCAGAAAAAATAACATACATTAAAAAACCAACACACACAGGGCCATCAACAATCCATTCGCACACTATATTAAATCATATTGCCTCTTAACAGAATATTTTACATCTTCCCAACAAATTAAATAACACTCAACAAATTTGCAGTCTCTTAAGGTAGACATCGACAGTGTCCAGTATGTGTTTTAGGGTGCAACTAGCTCCAGGGTCATTGTTTTAAAGGCCACTGACTATCGCTTGGATCCCTTGGCCAGTTTGCTTTTGGAAGCGGTTCTCCTTTGAGGAGTAGGGATCTTGGATGGTTTTCCTCCATGTTGGCGGGACGCAGAGCGCGGAGTTGCTCGCGCGGAATCGCCAACCGTCTCCGACACGTCTGAACACACAGACTGGATGTCTGAGATGTCAAAGTCAGAGGCGTCGCTCCCTCTGCGACTGCTGCCTCTGCTGCCGGCTTTACTTCCTGGTCGGCTGGAATTTCTTCTTGGTTCTGGAAGCATGAAGCCGTTATGTAAGTAAGCATTACTAAAAAATAAATGAATAAATAAATAAAATTAAACAATTTTTCTGCAAGCTTCAGCAAACCTGCTCCAAATTTTAGTTCCTATTAATTGTATTTAAAAAAAAAAAACAAACACAAAAAAAAACATCCATTTTTGTTTGTCTTCAAAACAGAAATTGAGACATATCCAGCAATTAGCTTACCTCCAATCGTCTGTGCTCGTGCTTTCAGTACAGCATTGTTGATCAAGGTTCCCTCTTCACCTGATTGAAATCCTTTGCCAGATAAATAGCCTGGAAGACGCAGTTTGCTCCCTTGAACTGCTGTGCCCTGCAACACAACCAAAGAAACAGAAATAAGTTTTCTTGTCACTCAGTTATTTCCAGTTGAAATACACAACAAACTTCCCCCTACCCCCGACACCCCCAAAAAACACAACAGACGCCACTGAGTTAGAGTTAATCTTGATTAAATCCCTTTTGAGACCCTTTTGTAACATCAGCAAAGCCCCTGTGAGTAGGTGTTAGTATGAAAGGGTTAGTAACTCAACAAACTGTTAGAAACTGTTAAAATTTCACAAAGTGTATCAGAGTAAAGCAGCCAGGTATCAGGAACACATCAGATTTTGAGCAGAAATTTGAAAACTTCAAAATATCCCGACCCAACTGAATTTTTTTTTTTTTTTGTCTTTTATTCAAAGTCTCTTTGTTAGAAAAACAACACGCATGCAAGGTTAACGCCTTAATATTAATTTAGTGTATTTCACATTTGCTTGAAATACAGTGGATGTCAGTTGGGTAACAAGCTCGAAGCATTCTGCATCGCATGCTGGTTTCTACAATACCTCTGAGGATGAACCTTGGCTCTCAAAGGAGTCTGATGATTTAAGAGGAGTGGAGGGTTTGCTGTTTGTAAGCCATGGCTTATCATAATTGCGGGCAAAGTGTTGAGTCTAGGGAACGATGGCAAATTAAGAAACAAAACATATGGATTCACAAATCAAAAAAAAAAAAAAAACTACAAGAAACAGTAGATGGAGGAGTTATGTAATGTATGTGGCAGAAAAATCAAAGTCAAGTAGCTAAATGAGATGAAAATTAAACTCTTCAGTGCTTTGGGGAGCAAAATGAGAACGGGTCTGCCATGCAGGTCTCACCTTCGGAGTGCTGGTGGCAGCTGGATTTGTTGGAACTGCGCAGCTCTGACTTGAGGTGGATCTGTTGGGAGAGGCTCCTCTGGACGACGGCCGAGACCTCCGGCCTCTGTAGCGGAAGCTCGCCATTACTTGTGTTGCTCCCTCCGGGAGGATGAATTTCTCACGGAGCTCCATGTTGGTCCGGCCTTTAGCTGAAAAATGCATTCCAGAATTTGACATAAAGGATAAATCAGCCAAATAGAGATTACAACACTATGTTTTTAATGCGGTCAGGGTGGTGACAGTGGTAATGATAATGGTGATGATGATGATGACAGTGATAACACTTTATTTTTTTACAATTATGTTTCAGATTAGATTTGAATTTCGTAAAACTTATAGCCTTCGCAACATAATTTTTGTGAAAGATTACCTGCAAAGGGAAATCTAAATAAACGAGGTAATCTGCTCAACTACAACAATTATCCACGTACACATCAAACACAATTTTTAGAGATCTTTGACTTATGAAATAAAGTGTTAAGATAATGAGGTGTCTTTTGTCATGAAAGCAAGGCTCATGCAGCAACACATCTCAACCAGAATGAGTAAAAGAAAGGAAAATACTGCTGCAACACTAGAGGAATACAGGTATACCTCAATACATCACAACAGCAGATAAAAGGTAACATATTTTAGTAACTCGGTCATAAATATTAATACTGCACACTGCAGTCGTGACCTTTGATGACTAAAGCCTACAGGTGATGAAAACCCACTGAAAAACATGTCCATGTGACACAATCCTTGGTTTTGCAAGAATTACTGCATCAATGCAGTGTGGCATGGAGGCCATCAGCCTGTGGTTTTGCTGGGGTGTGGACCTGATAAAACACAGCGAACCACCAACATCAGATGACAAGGATCTCCAATTTATTACAGAGTGTGAGAACATTGGAGTCTAAACCTCTCCACTCTTCCTGCAAACTCAGGGACCCTGATCTTCTAAATGAAATGCAACATGTAACTTTATCTGAAAAGAGGATTTTAGCACACAAGCCATTTGTTTTTCCTCATTTGCCTAAAAGAGGTTCTTCTTATATTGTCACTTGCAAAGAAGTGGCTTAACACAAGAAATGTGATCGATCCTGAATACGTTTGTGTGTGATGGCTTTTGAAGGTCTGACTCCAACTTCAAGTTACTTGTGAATCTAAATATAGTGACAGTCTGCCCAACAAAATGCAAAGTCAGCAATCTCATGCATGGTCATAATAAAAAAACATTTTTGTAAAATTATCTAAATTAACATGACAAACCAAAAGGTCATATAACATAATGAACCTAAATAATATATAGGTTTTAATTTTTTGCACTGAGTTACCAAATAAGTTAAACTTTTCAACAATGTTGTAATTTACTGAGCTGTACCTGTGATTTGTATTATTACTATTATTTCTCAGCCAGCCTCAGCTACTGTTTCCAACAATAAAATCAAAGTTTTAAAACCTTTACAACACAAATCTGTAAAGTTAAATAATTTACAAAACTAATGAAACATGAACTGCACAAAGAAATCAGTTTGGCCACAAAAACACACCTTCATGCAATTTAAAGCAAATGTCACATTGTTTTAAAATGTAATGAATTCTGCTTCAGTTTAAAGTATAAAAAGTTATAATCATGATGTCAGACAACTCTGTATATTTAGAGTCGTTAGTCAGATAAGCATAGTTTTATGATTCCCTCCTCGGCTGAAAAAGATAATTGGCATTGCATGCTGAGAGAACACACACACAAAAAAAAAAAAAAACACACGGAAAGACTTTGTTCTCTCAAGTCTTTAAATAATCCAAGTTCATGGACAAAGTAACAGCAGGTGATGTGAGTCACACAAACAAGTGCATGCATGAAAAATCCCAGCGGCAGCTGACTGGGGCTGTAGCCGTTTTCTGAGAATGCCGTTCATTTTGCAGTGAGCGCTCACATGTTGCTAGGCTACACAAAGTGGTACACACCAGGACCAACACAAGCACCACGCACTCGGATGTGCAGACACACATACCGCCAGTGGGTTCATGGAGCAAGGTGAGAAAGTGTGAGATTTGCCAACCTATAGGAGACTGAGTAATTGAAGAGTTTGATTCCGAGCGCAACATTTTGCTCCCGTGGTGATGGACTAGAAGAAACGGTACCATGTTTGGCAGCAGCAGGGGTTAAGCAGGAGAGACACAGATTGATGTTATTAAAAAAGAAAAGCAGAAACATGAAGAGCACTAAAACTTTATCCGTCGATGGCGACAAAATGTACAAAAGATTTCACAATCAATAAATATATATATATATATATATATTTTTTTTGATCATTTTCATTTTTACTCAATTTTAAATTTTCAGTTTTTAGGGTTTTGAAAAGACCAAAAAAGAAAGGAAATTACCAATGATAAGGTTATATAGACCAGTTTCTTAATTTAACGATCACCACATTTATTTCAGTCAGTGAATGCACCACAATGAATCATAAGAAAACGTACAGGTGTGCTCGAAACAACCCTTTAGATTAAGGATTTACATTCTCTGGGGAATAGAATGTGACCACTGTCTACAGCTACTAATGCTAAATTACATTAAGAATTAAAATTACAATTAAGAATTTCCTTTCCAAACAACTGAGTACTAAAAATAGAGAAAATAAAACATTTCATATCAACCTGAGTGTATCTGGTGTATCTTTCAAAACTGACTTAAAATCTGTGAAAATAATGTCTGATAACTGTTCTTTTATTACTCTGAAAGAAAGAATCATTGAATTTCACTCTTTTATTTCACTTCCACAATGTTTGTTTGGTGCTTCCTCTCTGAGCTCACCTCGACAGGGGTCGTTCTTCACAAGGAACTCATCCAGAGCCATCCAGCCTCCACCCACCCGCACCATTACGGTGCTGCGCAAAATTCGCACGAGACGCAGCTGCTGAGAGTCTCCAAACTGCGACGGGGCAAGGAAAGCACAGAGATGACGTGTGAGAAACACTGAACTAACTGCTCGCTCCTTGTTGCTACACACAAGAAGCTGGGTAACTTAAAAAAAAAAAAAAAAAAAAAAACAGACTGCTTGGAGGATTCACATGAATTCATTTGGCACGAATTTAATTATCAACCCTGTGTGCAGTCTGGTTTTCTTTTCACATAATTACAAAGATATGCAGACACAAAACATAGATGTTTACTTTCATTTGTCAAACACATAAATTATTCAAAAATTAATCGAAAAGGTTTTGTTCTTTTAATGTTTTTTGATTATGATTTCTTTATTTCACTTTTGTGCACAAGACGTCCTTTACACACATGGTCTGATAATGAGCCTGACTGAACAATGTCATCATGACTGACATTTGTGAAATTTTCACGACGATTTATCTATTTTTTTTGTCTGAGTCATTCAATCAAATTTTCATAAACCGAGAGTTCAGATCACGTTTCGGCTGCAGTATCAGTCAGGCTTTAGATACAGACCTGTGACAATTTGATTCAAGGCTCCTTTAGAGTTTGTGGAGCTGAGCAGTAAATGCAGCAATTACTCAAACTGCCACAGCCTCACAAGCACAAGTGAATGATGTATTTTTTTTTTCTTAGTCATTTCTGCACATGTTGGTTCTCACTGTAATAATCTCACATCGAATTTGCGTGGCTTAACCCGTAACTGCAGGTTGAGCCTGTAAAAGACTACAGCTGAAGGCACATCATTAGACCACCAGGGGGTACTAGTGTACAACAATTTGCCTTCACCTGATCACATCATACAAACATACAAACACAGCATTTTGTGGACTCAAATGCTTCAAGCTCTATGAAAATGGTGGCATGTCAGTTGAAGTTGCACAAAAACGTGCAGATCACAATCACAGTCGCATGCTTTCTGTCCATAAACAGCAGGCTGACGTAATGATCAAGGGAGCAAACATCCAACTCCTGCAACCATTGTTGCACTTTCTACAGCTACAGCTGCTCAGAATGCGCTGATGGCACTGACGCATATCAGATGCAGCTAGCTTTGCTAACACAGTGAGAACAAAATGAGGGAATGGTTCGAGTCGTTTCTGTCTAATTCACGTGTGACACGCAGACATGATCAAACACTGATGATTCTCGCCAAACTCCTTATCATTTCTTCCCAAAAATGAAAATAAATAAATAAATAAAAAACCTTCGTATAATCTTTTATGAGTATTGGAATGATTTAATGTGAACTGGTGATTCTAATGATCAGAAACATTACAGGTGATGAAGTAAAAAAGAGGCACAAAGAAACAACTGAAGAGTAACCATTTACCAGAATACAGCTTTCCAAAACCTCAACGTGTAGGTGGTGGGTAAGATTTTGATTTTCCCTGTTTGCTATTGTCTCATCGCCCATTAGGGAGTCATGTAAGCAGTGAACCAGACCAAACTGTCAAAAGAGTTATTTCAATTCATTGTTGAGTGAAACATCAATACAAACTGTTGCACAAACCACCTCTGACACCCTTGTCCCGTCTCACTAACCCTCATCCCAAATGGACTTCTCCAACACAGAGTGCCTTGCAAAATTATTTAACGTCAAGTGAACTGTTTCACATTTTGGCACATTGTAGTCAATGTTTTTTTTCTCCATTTTATGGTCTTTTGTGATAAAACGAGATAAACCAAGAAAAAAAAAAAAAAAAAACTAACTGAATGAATACTTTCGCAAGGCACTGTAACATCCCAGAATTAGTTTTCCCCAAGAGAAAAGAGCAAAGAAACATCATTAAAGTTGCCCAACTTTAAAATTCTCTGATAATAAGAATTCGGCTGATGGATCAAACTGTGTCAGCCATTGTGGAGGTAAATCATTCCCATGATACTGAAGCATCAAAGCCAAGCAAACAGAAAGCATTATTAGATGCCCAGCTGATGAATTTATGCCCGTGAGCCACTGAATACATGGGCTGAAATGGTGCTGGCAAGCCACAACTTTATTTTCTGAAACTCAAAAGCAGATACATAAACATCTACAGGAACAGATGTTAAACTTGTTCATGTTGGGCTTTGTATGGCGCTTTAAAGATCTGGTTGGCTTCAGAAATAAAAAAAAAACCGTCAGATGTTATTGTAAATTTGACTTTCTACTTCTGAGTTCCAGTCCAATAACTGCAGCCAGAAATCTGGGCAAGAAGTGTTAACTGGACAGCAAACATAGTAAATGCAGAAAAAGCATAAAGGCCTGAGAGAAACCAAACAGACATGTGGACACAGAGGAGGACTTTCAGATGTACCTGATTTCCAAGGTAGAACTGGTGATGGAAAAACAATAAGAAAATATTCAAACGTTAGCAAAAGATGTGATTTATTTTTGCATATTTCAACACTTACCTTCAAACTGATTTCCCACAAAACAAAACAAATCAGCTTCAGGTAGAATCTAGGTAAATAATGACTTACCCTGTATTTATTTGCTCCAATCTGCTCTACTTGGAATCTTTTTGGACATTTGCATTTTGCGACTTGACGGGTAACCTGGAAAACATGCACCGTATTACTGAACTGCTCCTTTGAATTAAACGACACTGAACTTCGGCCATGACGGTGTGCATCACCTCATCTTCAATTTTGTCCGCATCTGTCAACGGCTTGTAGGCATCTTTGTTCGGATGAAGAGCCGCCACAAACTCGTAGTAGTCAATGTAACCGTCACCGTCTCTGTCGAATATGTCTGCCACGGCGCTCATCTCCAGGCGGCTGGTCGGGAATTCTTTAGAGGAGCAATCACATTGTATCAGGACTTTGTTCATTTCCAAAATTCCATATTTATAATTAAATTACTTTCTCATTTAAAGCACAAATAAAAAAAGTCGAATGATGAATCCTGAATTAAATAAACAAATAAATAGATGGACAGATGGATGGGAGCACATTGAATTCTACTAGATTTGCAGTGGAGTCTTACTGGATGAGAGTATTCCCTCTATGAACTCCTGTCGGGTCACTTTGCCATCCTGGTCCTTGTCAATGCGGCGGAAGAAGTCCATGACTCGAGACTTTTTGTGATTCATCCAGCGCATGTAGCGTTTCCTCCACACATCAAAGTCAAAGTTTGCAAATTCCTTTAACTAAACCAAAAAGGAAAGAAAAATGAAAGTAAGCACAGATTTCTAAAAAAACAAAAAAAGAATCACTGAATTAATAGAAGCGTCGATTGACCTCCTCCTGTCTGTCCAATGCATCGTTGAGTTTCCTTCTTCGGTCCAACGCCAGCAGCCACACATGCTGCCACTTCGTAACTAGCAGGTTAACTCGAGGGTTCTTGGTTTCAATTGGAGCTTGTGTCGTTGATGCATACATAGCTTGTGTGGGAGAGCGTTTTCCTGCAAGCGAAAGATAAAACTCTACATAAGAAGAAAGGGATTCACCGTGACATCATTTAAGGGGCTAAAAGGAGGAGGATTAGGATGTCACATCACTGTGCAATGACACAATGGTTGGCTAGCTGCCTCGGACCACGCTCTGGACAGGATATGAAAGGGATACGTACTTCCAGCTCGTCCTTTGTCTAGCACAGGGATGTGTGACTGGATTTGGGGCTCCAGAGCTGGCTTCCTTTTATGTGTTTTAGTGATTTTGTCAACATCTGGCTGCTTTCTGGTCATTTCCTCCATGAAGGTCTGCAAAGGAAGGGAACAGTTACAGTTTTCAAAACAACTACAAAACCAGAAATGCCTTCATCAAATAAATCAGAAATAAAGGAAAAGAGGTGTTTTTTTGTTTTTTTTTTGTTTTTAGCAGTTAAACTTTACCTGGTGTTCTGCTATGAGGCTTTTGATTTCTTCAATTTCCTGAGGCAATGTCTCTTTGTCTTTGTTGTTCAGGTTGGTCTCAGCCCACTGCAGCCAGGTCAGCAAATTCTCCAGCAGTTCCTGAGTGGCCAGCAGCTCGGTAAGCGCCATGGCCAGTCGCTGCTGGTGCTGCCTCACCCAGGCCTGCACCTGCACTCATGGAAAATGCATGCAGCACATACAAACACCTGAGATCTGCCCTTTGAAACACATTCAGTTACTTCCACAAAGGTAATTCAAAATGACTTTAGATCTTCAGACAATTTCTGGACATTTACAAGAAATGTTTGTTTTAGATATATCATAAAACAAAGTAATCTGAGTCGAAACATGTCAGATTGTTTTTTTGTTTTTGTTTTTTTTTCTGTTGCTCAATTAAGTGTACAAATCTGGAAACATTCAAAATAATTCTAAATTTATTTGTTCAAGTGATATGTGTGAAACTCAGGGAAGTATATAACTTTGAGTCTGTCTGGTTGACAGGACATAATTAACTACATCTTTCTATATATAAATTGGATTTGTTTTTGTGGCTTGAGACGATGTTGGGTTTGAATCGGCATTATATACAAAAAAAATCAAATGAACTGAACTTGATTTCTGAAATGTCAGCTTGTCTTTAATTTATAACCCTTGATTCGATTGTAAATGACTTAACAGTACATACATCTTATTTTTTTTAAAGACATACAGGATCTCACTAATAATTGTTTAAAACATATACTACAACAGCTCCCTTCCTGACAAGGAGAATTCATTCTTCAATAAAGTGAATAAATAAATGCGAATTTGCACATTCTTGACAGAAGCTTAAGAAACTGGACAGGAAAGCGTGTCATCCAACCAATACATGTGGCAGGAATTTCATAACAGCTGCAGACTGACCTCTTCAAACCTGGCCTTAATGATGGTGTTCCAGTGCTTAATGGTTGTGATGGAGTCTGGATGGCATATGCTGAGAATAGCCTCCCCCATACTGGGCGCTTTGTTCAGAGCGACTCGCTTTTCTTCCAGCTTTTTAGTTAACTCCTTAAAACCAGAAAAAAAAAAAAAAAAAAAAACATTGTTTATATTTGTATTGGCTTATCTTCAGCAAACATAAAAATAAATCATTGCTAGTGCGTGTTTTCATGTAAGAGCAATGCAGAGCTATTTTAATAAGATGAAATCATAGGAAAATTAGAGCACTCAGTTTTTGGCATTAAGGATGACAAGGCTGACAGGTCGCAATTACAAAGTCTTGACTGTTTATTCAGGCAAAAGTCATCATAAAAAATGTTGGCAAGCTAGATTTGTTTCATAATATACGGGAAGGTGGCGTGATCATCAAATTGTACAGTATAAATAACAGCTAAGCCAGGGGTGGAATTCATCGCTTATTTTTTTTTTAAAACAGTTTTGCACCCGCTATTTTGTTTACTGCTACTCTGGATACAAAAAAAAATCCACATTGCAATAAATAAAGTAGACATAAAAATACCCATTGTCCTCTTGTCAGTTGGTGCAGTAAAATGATTAGACATATAGAATATTTCAACCAATGAAAAACCGGGTTGTTTAGACCCTGATCTCATGAGGTTTTTCCTCAATCAATAAGCAATTCTGCAGACTGTGATACTGTGGAATGATGGATCCCTTCAGCTGAGTCATTCACACTGATTAAAGTTAGAAATGTTGAGTAAAGAAGAAACATTTGTTAGTTTTGCAAAATTATACTATATACAGAAGGACTATTGTGCAAAGCACAGATGCTAGTTGCAGGAGTGAAAGGACATACAATCTCTGGTTTGCCTGCATTTAAGCTGGTTTAAAAAAACCCTTCTAAAGTGTTAGAAAATACATAAATATTAGCACTGCTTGCCTTGTGTTGTTCAATCAGCGTTCGCAGAGCTTCCTCATCATCTGGGAGGTTACCATGAAAACGTAGACTCTGCTCGGCCTCAGCCAGCCACTCCAGCAGGATATGAACAGTAGAGTGAAATTCCTCGGCCTGCAGCCAGACGACAAACATCAATAAGGCTCAGAGAGCTCGTTTACCTTCCGCGCAACGAAACGGCGGCTGTGCTTCACCTGGCACAAGGCCTGCTCCAGCCGAGTCTGCTTTGATACAGACAGGTTGCACACAGTATCCCAGCGAGTGCTAAGCTCCTGCATCTGAACTTTGACCCAGGAGGAGTCATCATGACTGTTTTCGACCAGCTCTCTCGCAGAACGCTTGAGAGCCTGAACGCTCACTGTCCGCTTTCCCAGCTCCTTTTGGAAAACCTACAGTCACAAGAGCACAGAGGAAACAATTAGACGACGTTGTCACGGTGTAAAGCACTTCAAACCTTTTGCACTAATTCAAACAAATGTAAACAGAAATATTTTTTTTTTTGGTAAACTGGGCAAAACCGACAAAAAGTGAAATGTCACGGTGTTCTGCAAAAGTGTTAGTTTGCTTTTAACATTTCCACTTTTTGTTAGAATATGTGACAACACAGTAGGATGTGTGCTCGTCATGTGCGGCATATCTTTATATTCATCCCTCCCAAGTCAAAACTTTATAGAGCCACCTGTCACTGAAATTATAGCTGCAAGTCTTTTTTGGGACATGCATCTATAATCTTTGCACATCTACAAACTTCTTGTCAGTTCTGTGCAAGATAACTCATCCTAAGTCAGCCTGAATGGAAAGCATCTGAGAATTTTCAAGTGTTGCTTCAGACTTTGAAATGGAGTTTGACTGGATGATTTTAAGACGTAAATATTTTTTGCTCTCAACTCATTTGTATTTCTGGCCGTGTGCTGAATCTTACAATATATTTACAAGCCACTCTACGTGATATTATAGTGCACGAAACAAGCCTAACATACAAACAATACCACAAAGCTATATTTGCTGTATGATAGTGCCATCTGTGAAGTTGTTTAAACACAGCTATCTTCACAGCCCAACCCTTGTGTGGTTTATTCACCAGGAATGATTAGGAAAAAAGCCATTAAAAGGATGAAAGAGAAGGGCGGTGGTGCAAAAGTGAAAACCCTTACATGTTTTCAAAGTTAGCTTTTGTAACTGCGTCTCATATCCATGATCAACAAAGCTGTGACACATGTTGTCACACTTTTGTTGGAGTGAGGTTCCTACCTTGTGGTTGTCTATCAGATTGAGAACCAGGTCAATGTCTCCGTGTACTGGCTGGTCCTCAGCCAGCTGAGGTTCCACTTTATACAGCCAGTCGATGAGTGCTTGGAGGGCATCCGTAAACTGACCCGAGAACAGCAAGGCCTCCTCCAGCTTGTTTTGTCTGCAGGTGAACACAAATAAATAAGCAAAGTGCCCTGACTACATTTTGTAGACAAGAGAGGAAAATAGAGAAAGAAAAAAAAAAGTCTTCTGACCTTTCCACTGACTTTCCACAAACAGTGTCCCACTTATCTCTCAGTTCGCTCAACATGTCGTCCAATTTCTGCTTATCATCTTTAAGAGCGGTTTTGTCTTTCAGGGCCCGTCCGGTTCGAGCAGTGGTGTCGTACACAGAGTGTTTGCTACCCAGAGCTTTCTGGAACTCCTGCATTTGACAAAACACAATCAGTTTTAGAGGTGTGCTAAAAGTCTGCACATCTAGATGAAAAGCCAGACAAAGATTATTTTCTAACTACTGCTGGAATGTCAATAGGGCTCTAGTCTGTGTGTGTGTGTGTGTGTGTGTGTGTGTGTGTGTGTGTGTGTGTGTGTGTGTTGTGATGGAGATGCAAAGCTATGTGTGGCAAACACAAAAGGGGGTCAAATCTCAGTTACTGCTCCAGAGAGATTAAATGTATCCAATCCCAAATAGATTTGGTCCAACCCCGGATTATGATAGGATTAGCTCAATCTCCCTACATAACAGTGCAAACATGGCAAGAACAAACAATACAATAAACAGTTTTAGAAATATTATGTTCTACTGACGCTGTATTTTGTGTAAATAGACCTAATTGGTGTCCTGGACATGATACTATAAACATGGAGCCTGACAGGTTAAGAGATGAACCGATCAACCTTGTTCTGACCAGTGCCAATTCCTGGTTTTCTTAGGTGTTCGATCTGCCAATATCAGTATCAATCAATTCAGACGTTTCAGGACCAGCTAAACTTGGTGTCAAAATTTCATACAAGAAAAAGCATGTATGTAACTTAATAACTCAATAATGGGCTGCAGGTTCTTGGACGGAGAAAGTAGCTTTGTGTCCAACAAGAAAGTCTAATAATTACTGGCATATTCACATCAAAGCATTACAGACGATGCTCCCTAACATTCATTTGAATCTTTACTGAAAGTGCTTCAAAGGACATTCTGTTCATTCACCCACAGACATAAACGGCTTTAAATATAGACGAAAAGAAAAAGATTTAATGTGATGATCACTAAATCACAGCCAGTCAAGGTCGCGTCTGACATGCAGACGTTTATGTTTCATGAGTGAAGGCTTGAGTGTGCATGTACCATATAAGGATATAACATTAAGGGGACTACAAAATGATTTGTCACCTTATGCTGTGTCAGCTGCATCTTGATTTTGTCAGGATCATTGGCAATTTCCACTTCAGAGTCCAGGGCCTTCTCGGATTCATCCAACCACTCCGTGAGTTTGTTGAAGGTTTCGTGGAACTAGAGAAACATTGGAAACAGTGTAAATAAGTTAAGAGAAATGCACGATTGAACTTGATTTATTGCAAAGCCCTGCTTTATGTTCACATGATCCAGCACTTTGGCTCTAAGGAAAGAAGTTCTACACACTAATAAAAACAAAGCTACAGCATGCCGACAGAATTTTAAACAGGCCTGAAATACAGTTTCCAAGGAGCTTTCCAATGATAATAAAACAAGCCTGATAGTAGTGAAGCAAGCCAGTGCCAGACTCGGCATAAAAATGCATAAAGCATTACCTGCTTCGCCCTCTTCCTGGCGTCATCCAGCAGGCGACCTCGCTCCACAGACCTCTGCACCAGCTTCTCCCAGCGGCCTTGCACGCTGAGCAGGAGGTTCTTGATCAGCACCACGTCCTGTTTCTGGCTGAAGTACTTCAGATGCGTGCCCGCCTTGTCCAGCTCGATGATGTGCTCTCTGTGTGAGTTCACCTCGGTCACAAACATCTGCACAATCACAGAAAACATGCAGAGGAAAGACGTTCAGGTTTGGTGTATTAATGAAAAGAGCGCAGGTTTTTTTTGTTGTTTTTTTTAGAAAAAAAAAAAAAAAAAGCTAGATAAAAAAAATGTGCTTGGCTTCAATTGGTTTTATTCCAGGAATACATTCACTAATGATGCACAATCTAAAATGTATTTATTTTCATCAGGATTAGCTTTCCCACCAGAGGCTCTGTCTCTCCACACATTACCTTATGCTCATCAATTTGAAACATGATGGTCTCCAGGATGAGGGAAGCAGGAGAAACCATGTTCAGCGTCTGTTCGGCCTGGGTTAGCCAAACAATGAAGTCCTGAAGAGAGTTGTGGAAATCTGTGGCCAGTGTTAAAGCTTCTTCAAGTTTTGCCTGCGGAGACAAACCACCAGAAAGTGTTAATTTCTCTAAATCCATATACACTGACCTAACCATAACCCACAGTTCACTATTCAGTGCTGCAGATTTCCCTGTTGACAGATCTGGACGGGTAAATGGCAAAACTGAAAGGCAATGATGAGTTTATAATTGAGGAAGAGAAACATCCATGAGGCTGAATCATATCCGCTCGCCCCAGCAGAGAGGGCTTGGACTCAAACGACATTACAACGCTGATGACATTTCTGATTAATAAACTCTAGTTAAGGGAAATCAGCGGTTTGCTAAATATAAAACTAGCCTTATAAAGTCAGAGCATACTGTAAAACTCGCAAAAAGTATATATTTTATGCTTTAAATTTATTTGCATTCTGTGTTCAAAACGACAACTATGTGAAGCTCGAAGATTTAGCAGGTTCTAAATTCATAGGAACGGCACCAAAGTCAACAGGAACAAAAAACAACAAAGACTCACACAGAAATACCCCATTTTTGGAGAATAGAGTGTGAAGCAATGAAAACATGCAGAGCCTTACAAATATCCCATAGACCTTTTCGCATTTTATCAAATTACAGCCACAAACTTCATTGTATTCTACTGGGATCATATGCAACAGACCATCAAAGAGCAGTAAGTCATTGTTGCGTGGGATGATTGAGTTACATTGCTTTAAAAATGTTTTTATAATTAAATAAAGGGCATTAGGGGTAGGCCATGAAGACCTTTTCTTAGACTATTTTGTGATATCTGTTGCAATAAAGATAAAAATGACAATACAAAGTAGTAAAACATTAGTGATGATGTGTTTGGAAAAACATTTATGCCGACCTACATTGAGAAATACACAAAGTCACCTTCCTGCAGTAAGTTGAGCATCTGTTTATCCATCTCTCAAGTCTATTGCAGCTCCTGTTTTGTGCTATACTTAGTTCCATTAATTTTTTCATCAACTTGACCTGAAGAGAGGCATTCCCACAGCATGATGCCGCCAACCACGACAAATTGCAATTAGCAAGTAAGGGAAAAAATTTGCTTTGTCTAGACCTCAATGAGATGTTCCCAGCTTCATCCCATGCCTGTCTGGTGTGCTTCTTGGGTTTCCACGATGCTTTCTTACAGAAATTAATATTGAAATTAATATTGAAATTAAATTACAAAAAGGTGCAGCAGTTTATTCAAAGGTTAGATGAGTCCTGAATAAAATGAGCTGCGTACAAAACATTCACATAAAGAGAGCAACGTATTGTTTTTCTACCTATGTTGCAATTAGCACTATGCTGAAAAAAAAAAAAAAATCCTGTCAAAAACAAAAGGTTTGTTGTCATAAAGTGAACATTTTTAGAGGTATGAATACTTTTTTAAGGTACCACACAGTTTTGCCCCATAAAAGAATGATTGTACTTTATTATGGCAAATAAAATAATAATAATAATAATAATAATAATAATAATAATAATAATAATAATAATAATAATAATAATTAGAAAACGTGGTCCTGAATTGAAAAAAAAAAGAAGTGATAACTACCTTTTTTGACCTCTGTCAGGTCATCACAAAGAGAAAATATAAAAAGAATATTGCTCCACTTTGACAGCAACTGCACTGCCCCTGATCAACTGTGTAAACCACATCCTGAGTGCCTTTGCCAGCACTTCCACCCTTCATTATCGACACTGGCATTAAAGGCTTTAAGGCTGCAGAGTCAGGGTTCAAGTGTTTGTAAGTGATACCTCCCCGGGACCAGAGGAGATGAGTCATTTCTGCTCAGAGCAGTAAAAGCCGTACAGCGGTGACCCACCTTCCTCTCAGTGACCTTTGCCTGCACGGCTTCCCATTTCTCCTTCAGGCTGGCGAGGTCCTGCTCCGTGTTGCTGTCCGGGCCCTGAGGCGACATGGCAAGCAGCTGGCCACCTTTGTTTAGCAGCTCCCTATAAAGCTCCTCCTTGGCCTCAAAGGTAGAACACAACTCCTGAAACAAAAATAAACACGGTGGCGTGAGGAGAGTTTTTGTCAGAGCAAAACAAAAAAGTTTAAGACCATTTGTTTGTCAGCAGTTAGGCCAAGTTTCATCCAAAAATGGACAAAGAATGAGCACAGCCAAGCCGCCTGAAACTCCAAGAAACATGTTTCCAATAAATATTTAAACAGTATAACGTTACCAATTTGATAAAGTTACTGTTTCCAGAGATTTGCTGTTTATAGTTCTATCAAATACTACCACTTGTGTTTTTTTGGGGGTTTTTTGTGGGGGGGCAGAAACCACTGCTGCTGAAGTGTCTCCATAATCTAGACCAAAAAAAAATAAATAAAAAAAATAAAAGAAAACAATCTCAGATTCAATAAGGTCAGGCATGGACAAATCAATTGGAAACACTCGAGGGGCTTTTCGTCGCTCCCTGCAAGTTGTGTATTTTTCAGTGTCGCTTAATTTTCACACTTGAGATGAAACGCAGCACAGACACAGCCACCTCCTCGCCAGCCTGCCATCTGCATGCAGCCTTTCATATTGTTAAACACATACCAGATGGGCGTTAAGCTGCTCCCGCGCCGTGTCTGGTAAACCTCCCACAGCCTTTGATGCCAACAGCTGACGTTCTGTGTCTTTCAGCCATTGCTGCATATCTTCTATCTCGCCATGGAAACCTTGGGCCTACAACACAATACAACCTGGGTCAGGACAAAAGGTGACTCGAGCACACACACACGCTGATTGTTAGAAACCTGAGTCTGGGAGTGGAACAGGGCAGAGTTAATAATTCCTTCACTTCATTCCTGTATGTGTTCAGCCTGAACTTAATCGAGGGGTGTAATTCGTAATGTTTTTCTGTATTTTACCCTACATCCTACCTTTAAGATGAAAATAAACTCCTAATTTTAAACAAGACGAACCTTTGAAATGCATATCTTTCACTCTTGTTTTAAAAAATTCACTCTGCCTCAAGACTAAATAATATTTTGAAGACTTCTCTTTCTTTCTCTCCTTTTCTTTCTTCGTTTAGCTAAAAGAAATATCATACTTAAAAACACGCCTGTCAAATTAATGAGAAAAGCGTGGGATTACTCACCCCAACAGAACTTTGGGACTTAGTTGTAACGTACTTGTTTCCTTGGGTTGATACTAATGGATCACAGTTTATTAAAGCTAAAGTGAAGTTTCTGTGAAATGAATAAGAACCTGAAGCAGAGACGCTTCTAGCTGTTGCTTCCTCTGGTCCGTCTTCTCCAGGATGGCCTTCCACCTCTGGTTCAGATTCTCCAGTTTGCTCTGCAGACTGGAGGCTTCCTCTCCGGCACTGGACTCCACCAGCTCATTACCAGCCTTGTTCACCGTCTCCACGGTCGCCTTGTGGGCTAACACATCTATCTGGAGCACCTTTCGGGAGGAAAAAGCAGAGATGACTCAAAAAAAAAAAAAAAAATGTGTATGAACCCAATGTGGATATATTTTCAACCTTAGGATACAGTGTCTATAATTGCAAAGAAACAATTAAATGAAAGGTGAAGGAGATTTGTTGTACATGATGCTTGGCGAGCTCTATCTCGATGGCTTTGGGGTCTCCTGCCGCTTTTCTCTGTTCGTTCAGCAGCTCTTCCGTGTGGCTCATCCAGGCCAGCAGCTCATCCAGTGCATGCTGGAACTGGCCCAGTGCCAGCAGCCCCCCCTCCAGTTTGTGCTGGATTAATGACAGATTGACCCATTAGATTTGGCATTTAGTGAAAGCACTTGACATACACAAGACATATTCACCAGTCTGGTGGAGCTATTGTTCAGGGCTCTAGACTTCAAATAGCGGCTGCAACTAATTTCTATATAATAATTAAATATGCAAAAAGAATTATGTTCAAAGGGAATGGCAAAAAATATATATTTTATTTTCATTTCAGTTTTCTTTCGTAATTTATTTTATTGTAGGTACTACGCTTAATATAAACCAAGTTTGTGAATAAAACAATGCAAGCATTTTTTGTTAATAAGAACTTGTAATTCTAAATATGTAAAAATGTTAACTGTTGGTAGAACTCAAAAAACAGATTTTTAAAAAATGATTTTATCAACTTATTAATTTTTCAATCATCAATTTTTATGTTTTTATGACTATTATGACAAAGTAATGCAAACCTGACAGAGATAATTGAATTTTTTTTTATTAAACTCATAATTTTTTAAGGATAATATAATATCCAATTTTAAAAAAAATGCATTTAGTTGTTAATGCAAAGACTTATCTTAAGTGTAATTATTTTGCAACATTACACTAAAGGAATGAGCGATATTTTTAAAACTTGGCACGGTCTGGCCCATCCTTCTCTCCAGCCGTTTCCTGGCTCTGACCTGTCGGCTGATGATCTTCTCATCCAGGTTGTCCCAGAGCATCTTGAGTTCAGACATCGGCTCCTGGATGGCGCAGCGGTCGGCCTCCTCGGTCACCTTCTTCAGAAGGAGGCCGGCCTGGTGGTTCAGCCGCTCCATTTCGATCTGAAGCTGGTACGCCTCTCCTTTGAACTCCTGACAAAAGGAACGCCATGAAACCAAGTAAACACAAACTCAAAGACATGCAGAGAAAAGCAGAGCTGTTTGCTTAGGACAGCGTTTGTGTTGTCGCACATCAAAGGTGCATAGGAACCTTTTCTTTTAGAAAAAATGGTAAGAGAAGTAAATTGGGCACAGCTGATATGAATACAGCTGGTGTTACAAAAAACACTTGCAGTGAAAATATCTCACAGCCCAAAACAGGAGAGAATTATCAAGGAAAAAAAAAAAAAAATCACCAAACCGTACCTTGAGTTCTACAATCTGCTGCTTGACTGTCTCCAAATCTGTGCCTACGGGTGACATTGAATCCAGTTTGTTTTCCAGTATATCCACCCAGTCAAACATGCCCTGTGTACAAAGTGGGAAACCATTGTTGATGTCAGAAAGCAAGGCTTAGCGCACACACAGAGTCATGTTTCACTCAGGTTTATCTGATTTCATGCAGAAAAGTTCCAGCTCTCCTGCACAGCCTCCAAATGGGTAAACATTTACATTGAAATTAAAAAAGCAACCCGCAAAATAAATCCGTAACCTCAGCAGAGTTAAACCAGCCGACTTTAAAAGACTTTATATGAACTTCATACAGAAGTTAAGCCGAACCAAAAATAGAACAACACTGCGGTTGGTGTTTATTGTCTCCAAATTACTAGTCTTCTCATTAAATCTTCTATCGCGCAAATCAGTTGTTTGAGCTTGAAATCATCTGGCATACGATTCGGGTTTAACTTCTCACATATGGCGTAAATTTACCCAAAGAAATAAGTACTCAAAGGTGATTTGTGCTCCCAAATCTGTGTACGTACCTGCAGTCCATCCTGAAACTGCACAGCTGCCTGCATGGCTTCGTCCAGCCTCTCTACTCGTTCTTTCCAAGTCTTGTTGAGATTCTCCCATGCCGAATTCACCTAGGAACATTAAACAGTCCACATGTGAGCAATAAAATCTAATCGCACAAATGTTTCACAGTATCACCAAGTGAAAGTTCTGCATATGAGACAGAATTTTATTCGTTACCTCATCCACACTTTTCTTTATGACAGGTTTGTCAGGTTCTCCGCAAGCAGTCATAAGCTCTGCACCCTGGTTCCGAACCACATCAAGTTCCTCCTGAAGCCCATCGATTTCCTCCTTAAAGCCCTTTGAAATAAATAAAAACATTTAAATACAAGCCTTTTAAAAGAGAAGCCCCATTAGGTTTTATTGTCTATGTGCCAGCCGTTTCCTTTCCACCTCCACAAATTCCTGCTGCTGCTTGACAACTGAGGGGTCGACTCCGGGCTCCTCCAGCTCCCTCAGCAGGTCCTGGCTGTCTTTGATAGTGACGATGAGAGCGCAGTGGTCACACCAGAACTTGTCTGCTAGGTCCATCACATCCAGCAGCTTCGCTTCCCGCTCCTCCAGCAAGACCTGGATGTTGTTCCACAGGAACACCATGTGGTCCAGTTTGTCTTGGACAGCTGAAGCAGGGGAATATTGAAAGTGTCACAAATATGATAACTAGAACATAAGGGATTTGACAGCATTATTATTGAAGTGTTGTTGTCTGACACTTTGACACTTTTGTTTGGTTGTTTTTATGACAAGTTAAAGATTTCTTTAGATACAGCACATTCACAACTAAAGAGGAGCATTAAAAAAAACTGGCAAATTCAATCTTGATCGGAGACCAGCAGGGTGGAAACTGATAAGGGCAATCTTATTCCCCGTCCTTGACCACACCATGACTGTCAGTATCAATAAGTAAATTAATTGATATTCAAGTACCACTCTTAATTGAGAAAGAGTTAAGCTAGCTGCTTTAAGGTGTTTTAAAATGAGCGTATAAAACAAAGAGCTTACATCATACATAGTATTTTCTATGACAAATCAAGACATGTCTTTGGTTCATCCAGGCTGTGACATATTGAAAGAGAGCAAGATTTAAAGTAGGTAACAGGAAGGCTCAACAGACTACAGCTAAAGGTAGCATCATTTTGTCTGTATTAAAACAGTTAGTCTGTTTGAGAAACTGATTTCTTACACATCTTGTGTGAAATCATGACTCTTCCTATAGAAATATTAGATTTTTTTTATTGCAGAAAGGTTAAAAAAATTTTCTAATTATGTTTATTCATGTATTTGTTTTATCTTGTATATTTTTAATCGGGTGGCCAAAACTTTGTTATACAAATATTACAGGAAGAACACACATTAAACTGACACAGCACATCCAATACCTTTGGCAGATATGTCCTTGTCTGCTCCTTCGGCTCGTGCAATCATCTCTTCACCTCGCTGCTTCAGCGTCTCATAGACTGGCTGCAGTTTCTCCAGATCCACAGAAACAGCCTTGTTTTCAGTAATCTGTTCCTTGATCTTGTCCACTTCCACAGAGATGGACGGAGGCTGGCGCAGGCGTTCAGCAATCCGCTCCAAGGACTCCAGCATGGGGTCAATCTTATCGTGGAACTAAGGCAAGATTAGAAAGAAACCCCTTAGTCAGAGCGTAAGGTTGCTGTATTTTTTGTGTCAAACTGTGTTAAAACAAGAACTGAGTTCATTCTTTACATTGTTTTAACAATACATCCCATCTCAAATATGGCATTTAATATGCAACAACTGGAGACCAAAACCTAAACTACCCCCCACCTGCGTGGATTTGGAGATGGCTTCATCCAAACTGGCTGCTCTCTCCTTCACATCAGCCTTGAGTTTGGTGTACAGCTGGTCGGCCGTCGTGTATTTCTCTCTGATGGGAACTCCCTCCACGGGGCTCAGTTCAAGCAACTGTGGACCCGTCTTATTCATCTTGTCGATATGAGGTTTGTGCTCGGCAATTAGCTCTCGCATTTGCTGAAAGAGATCAAATGAATTTAAGTACCTATTTTTCCCCTCTTTCTTTTGTATACAAGTCCCAATGAACATGTTCTCACCCTGAGCTCCTCCTGTTGCTGTCTGAGCATTTCATATTCGATGGCGGGCAGGGGCAGCTGGCTGAAGGTGCTCAATGTTTCTTGCAGCCACGGCCACATTTCTTCGTAGGTCTCCCAAAACTGCCCAGCCAGAGACTGCGCTCGCTCCAGCTGGAGATAGCGCTCTGAATTCAGCTGGCTGACAATCCCGTATTTCTCCAAGAGACTCTCGGTCTTGGCCTGATTTTAAAGAAAAATAAAGCAACAGAATCCCTAGCTTTTGTCTACCAATGATTATATTTGAAAAACAAACAAACAAAAAAAAAAAATAATAATAATATAATAAATATATATATTACCTTCAAAGCTTCTTTCTCTTCTGAGTTTTTGCTGCTCATGATGGCTCTTCCAGTTTTTACAATCTCATCCACAGCATCTTTGTGCTTCATGATATCCATAGACATATTCTACAAAAGCAGTCAAATGAATCCAGTTTGAGGTCACATAGCAACTCGGTTTAGTGTATGTTTCTTTGATTGCATTATCATGCGCTAACCTTTTGTGCTTGGAGCTGCGCTGTAGTTTGGTTGTGCTCCAGCCTTATCTCACCCATCGACAGCAGCTTCCCCTCAGCATCAGCCAGCCAGGAGAGTTCGTTATCTGCAGCCTGCTCAAACTGGGAGAGGAAAATGTTGAACAAATGTTCAACAGAAGAACACAACAACACCAAAAAAACCTGATGTATCAACCAATTTGATTTACCTGCTGAGACTTGTGGATGTCAGCGTTGATCTTGTCGACCTGCTGTGTGATGGTGTCACAAACGACTCTGTACCGCTCATTATCTTCAGTCACCAGTTTGTCCAAACTTTCCCGGGTGTGCCATGGGATCAGGTCCAGGAGTGAACTGCTGAGCTCATTTAGCTTCTCCAAGACAGGCTTTTGGTCTTTAGTCTCTTTCATTAAGGCCTGGATAACATTACATGGAACACATTAGTCTGAAAATAATATAACCGGCTTTTTCTCTTGAACACATCTAAATAAAAAAAATAAAAAAGAAGAGTCTTACTTTCTGTCTGTTTTGTGAATGAATCAAATGCTCGCCCATTGGCTCCTGATCAGCAAATTCCTTCATTTCAGCCTCAGCCGTCTCTAACCAGGTGTTCAGGTCCTCATGAGTGCACGCTAACCTATTGGAGAGACTCAAAACCCGCTCCAGCGTCTTCAAAACATTGTCACTCATGGAGTTAATCTCAGCATACTTTGTTTTTATTCCGTCCAATTTGCCTTGGATGATGACCACCTCGTCTCCTAGGAAAAGGAAAATAAAAGCAAAACTAAACGTTATGTCGTCAGATGTGAAAACAGAGTCGCTGGTAGCTTGGGTAACCTTAAAACCTCAAGAACTTCAACCTAATAAAAACTGCTAATTTATTTACACTCCTGGTAAAGATGAGCACGAATCCACACACTGAAAAAGTTAGAAAAATTCAATCTTGGATTTGAATACACATTTGTTCAGTTTGGGAGGAAATAAATTATGTTAAAAATATATATATATATATATATATATATATATATATATATATATATATATATATATATTTATTTATTTATTTATTTATTACCAAAATCACCAGTGCACAATTATTGGCACCATTAACAAACCACTTAAAAAATACTACAGAAGAAAAAAAATGTCTATAAAATTACTTTTTAATTGCTTCTAAATAACAAATGAAGCCTACTCATGTAAGAGAATGACATGCCTGTTGTTTGCTTCAGAAGCTCCAGTCCATTGGAGATGGCTTGGTCAACATTTTTCTTCCTTAACTCAATATCACTCTGCAGCGTCTGAAAGGAAATGTTTCAGGGAGTCAATGAGGAGATAAGAGGCACGTGTCAAACTACGCAGGACACACAGGTATCTGATATGAGCTGCAAAGATGATGTAACTTAAAAGAAAAACATAATGGTTGGCCTGGGGAGGAGAATATACCCGCTGTTCTGCCAACTGCCTTTCAAGAACGTCAGGTTTGTAGTCCGCCGCAGAAACTTCCTCTAGCTTGGAGTGCACCTCGCTGAGCCAGTTCATGAGGGCCACTTCGTCCTCTCCAAACAACTGGGCGTTGGCCAGAGCTTGCTGCAGCATGTCTGCTTTTCTCCTGCATCGCTCCTGGAGCTCTATGTAACTGGCCTGGGTGGCGTCCAGTCTGGACTGGACAAACTCCTTCTCTTCCACCGAGCTCACAGCTTTAAGCATCTGCCCCAGACTGACCGCCTGACACAGGTCTCTACTGTGACCCATAATCTCCTCTTCTAAGCCCTGACCAGGGGTGGATGGACAACGAGGGGATGGGGAGGAGATGATGCAAAAACATAAAAATAAAACTGAACAAAAATAGAAATGATTGATGATGAAAAACTTAGAATAACAATGTAAACGAATGTAACTGCATGATTAAATAAATGAACTAAAGCTGGTGATGCAAAATAAAAATAAAAAACAAGTGAGGTAATGTTGCAAAAGCACTAATATTACCTTATGCTGAGTGATCTGATCCTCTAACTTGGATGTCTCAGTACCAATTGGCTCAGAATTGGCCAGATGTTTCTCTGTGGCCGTGAGCCACTCGGTCAGTGGCTCCAGAGTCTCATGAAACTGCTGGGTGACCACCAAGATGCTTTCCAGTTGCTTTTGCCTGCCATGTGCATTAAAGGAGATACAGGAAATGTTGTTTAGAAGTCATAAATAAACTGGATTGTAAATGAAGTTTCAATTTTAGAGTGGGACTAAAGAGCTGTCAATTATTTGCAAACAGACATAGAGAAGAAAGCTCTGACAGATAAATACAATAGAAAAGAAATGGAAGGCTTAAAAAAGCTGAATAAGTTTAAAAAGGAGAAACTGTGTTTTCACATTTTGTAATCTTATCACAAACTTCAACGTATTTAATTTGGATAAATTTTATATGATAAGCCAACACAAATAAGTCCATAATTGCACTGGGAGAATATGTGGGCAGGTTTACCAGTCATGCACTCTGCAAATCTGACCAGTGAGGGGAAAAAAAAACTGTTTAAAGAAACATCAAAAAACCTTTTTGCAGTTTGTGGGAACAAACGTGTAGAGGGAAAAGCTCTGGACAGATGAGATCAAAATTAAAACTTTTTGGCCTCCATGCAAAATGCTGTGCGTACCAGCAGACGGATGACCCTAAATATACAGCCAAACCTACAGTGGAGTGGTTTAGATCAGGGATCCCAGACTCCAGTCATCGGAGGCCAGTCTCCTGCAACTTAAGATCTGTTGCTTCTTTTAACACTGAATAAAACAGTGAGAGGCTTTATTTGATGGGATGAGAATAAGACTGACATGACAGTTATAAATATGACATTACTCCTGTTATGAACATGAAGGAGTCCTCATGAATGTCTGACTGTTGTCATGAAGTGTCATTGGTAAATGACAATATTTTTAATGCAAAGTTGCTTTAATAATTGCATCAAAAATGCATTAAAAGTGCCAACTTTGCATTATATGGTAAATAATGACCCTTTAATGCAAAGTTGGCACTTTTAATGCAATTTTTAAAGCAACTTTGCATTAAAAGTGTCATTATTTACCACATGACACTTCAAGACAAGAGTTATAAACATTCATAAATACTCCTTCAGGTTATGTCAATTATAACAGTGTCATGTCAGTCTTATGCACACCCTTTCAAATAAAGGGTTACCATATAGAGCATTAGAAGGACTCTGCAGACTTTGGCTGGCTTCTGAAGAGATAATTCATCACATGATTCAAGTGAGTTACATCTAAAAGTTGCAGGACACCAACCTATGAGGACTGGTGGAGACCTTGGGGCTCGGATCAAAGTATTTTCATGTAATAGAATGTTAAAATAGCCCAATCAAAGCCTAGAACTAAATTCAATTGAATCTGTGGCAATACGTGAATATTGATGTTCACAGACATGCTTTATCCAATACAAATGAGCTTAAGTTACTTTAAAAATGAAAAAAAAAGTCATTATGTAAGTACACAAAAGAAATTACACCCCAAATTAAAGAATTGACTCTAGGCCTGAAAACAAAAACACAAAACTGGTTTCTAACTTTTTTTGTAAATTATTTTTGAGAAATACGCATCAGCCGTTTTATTCTGTAATAAAATAGTTACACTGAAAAGCCATAAAACTTGATTGTACAAAATGCAAATAGAAGTTAAAGGAATGTAATTTGTTCTGCAAGACATTTGAAATCTTGCTTTATGAGCGATTGTGTTTTACAATGGATAGATAGTTGGGCACTATGAGTTAAGTGCATGTATATACTGACCTGTTTTCAGCTTTCTTGAGCAGATTGTCCCACCTCTCTCCCAAGCATTCAATCTCTTTGGTGATCTTTTCCTTGTCCACAGCCTCTGCCAGTTCTGCAACCTTTCCTCCCTCATTTTTTATGAGCTCCACGGTTGGCTTTCGGTCGTCCAGCAGTCTCTGCAGGAGCTGTCAGTCAGGAACAAAGAGAGTGAGTTATTAAGGGCAATAATTAGAAAACCAGTAAATCCAACAGTTGCAAATTAGAGGTCCATTACACAAAAAGCTTTGTGTTAAACTCTCATGGTTAACAATGGGTGTCACCGAAGTCAGATGAATGGCAAAGCAAATGTTAGATGTTTGTTTAAGTGTTGAAGTGCTGAGGCGAAAGTCGAAATTGCTTTGGTGTTCATGCATTTCACACCATGCAATTAACACTTACTTTCTGCTCTTGAATCTGTGCCTTCACCACTTTGAATTCAGCAGAAGGAGGCTTCTGGTTAGCAACAAGCTCTTCTGTATCGGTCAACCAGCTGAGAAGGGACTCCAGAGCATCCTGGAATCTTCCGCAGTGAAGCAGGGCTTCGTGCAACTGTGCTGAACGCTCAGCAACCTGCAGACACGTTATAAATATGAACAAGTCACTCACTTGAGAAGGGCTTAAAATACTATGAAGGATGTCCTTCTCCAAATATCCACATCACAATCACAAACTAATAAGAACTGAAACTACCTTCTTATTAAGAGTATTCCACTTAGAGTTGATGCCGTCCAGGTCATCCTCAATTTTTTTGGTGCTGGTGCCTTTTGCAGCGTTCTGGATAAGGCCCTGCCCAAGTGAGTTGATGTCATGGAGCTGCGTCTGCAGTGGATCAATGTCTTCTTTCTGGAAAGCCTAAAGACAAAACGAACAAACAGTGAATACTCGTTTCAAAATAAAAGCTTTTAAGTCATTTTAAAATTATTGTTCAAACAAGACACAATTTTTTTCTACACTTCAACAATGAAATTAGTTTACTTAGAATGAATAAAACAAATGTGTACAAAGCAACAATGTTTCACATATAATTTGGGTCATTATAGATTGTAAGGGTTAACTCAACTTATTTATAATGGTAGGTCCTCTAATTTTAAATGCCCTAAAACATCCTTTCATGTTATTACTCTTTTCACTTTGATATTCTCTTACATATTTTTTCCACATTGACAACAGTAAAAAATGACTTAGACTTAAAAAAAAAAAAAAACCCAACAGATTTAACAATTAAACCACAGCTGTGAATGACATCCAGGCTGGACTGCCGGGAAACAATCTCATTCACAGATCATGTAATCACATATGTATGAATCCAGGCAGCCAGGAATAAACTTTAAACAGATACATCAGTTACCCAAAATGTGTGCTGGGCAAGCTAATAAGAAAGAAACTTAGAAATGAAGAAAAATGCTATTTATAGGCACCTGTGGGCAATAAAAACCAAAGGGTTCAAGATCAGGGCATCCAGCAATGGCATTTAGTAAGGCCTCAATCTCCTGCTCCCCTGCATGCTGGAATGTCTGTAAACTTTTAGGGAGACAGGCCTCCAGTGATTGCAGGAATTCCTCCAGCTCCTCCATGTTGTACTTGGACGCCCCTTGCTGTTGCAGCATACATGGATCTGTCGGCTGGGTGCTGCCTGTGGGTGAAGCTACAGAGTTTCCGTACGCCTCAGGCTGTGTCACCACCACACTAACCAGCTCACAATCATCCTGAGGTGATACATCTTCCAGCAGCTCAGCAGTGCTGAGCTCATCGTAGTCTGTTAAAGCCTTAGTGCGATAGCCACAGGTACCATTTTGCGTTCTGGAACCAGACCCCAGAGATGACCTCCCTGTGGAGGGTTTATGCTCTCCATTGCTCTGGCTGTCCTTTTCATTAAGCTTTACCACTACATTTTCTTTCAGTCTTGACTCCTGAATCATGCTGCTGCTGTGGTAAAGAGACTGGTTGTCCCTAACGGGACTGAAAGGAAAGTCCTCCTGCCCTGAGCTGAGTGAACGCCCTGTTTTCAGATCCCCAGAGGTATGCATTGCCTCTGAGGATGAGAAGCTTCTTGTGCCAGGGCCTGTTCTTTTGTGGGATCTGTGTTTGTGTCGGTCCCTCTCAACAGAGGGACTATAAAGGCCTGAGTCCTCTTCAGATGTAAGCGAGGTTGTCATACTCTGTCCCCTCTTGCCACCAATAGAGCCGGGCCTCTCCCCAGTCCCGGAACACAGGGTCCCGCTGCGGCTCGCAAACTCTCCCAAATTATTAGGAACGAAAGTCCTCCACGACCTTCGGTGATGAGGATGATCCTTCTTCTCTCCTCCATGAAGACGTGACTTAGAGAGCACCGTGTCACCTGTCACGTTCCCATTGAGTTTGAGCCCATCGAAGACCGCTCTCTCATCCAGAATTGCGGGTTTCCTCGTCCGGAGTTCAAACGAGCTAGAAGTGGAGAGACCTCCATTCCCACAGAGGCTGCTCAGGTCCAAGGTGCGATGCGTGTACGGTAAAGTCCCTGCAAAGTGTCTGGAAGAGAGGCTTCCCTTAGATCCAGAGTCTATCTGCTCATTGAGTCGCACGGTGTCATATATGGATCTCTGGGGAACGTAGCAGTCATCAATGTTCAGGTCCTCCTCCTCCCCCTTCCCAACACAGGACGGGTTTTGTCTGAGGCAATCAGGTCTGCTCAGCGGTTTACCCATTTCCCAGACAATTGTTACTGGTCAAAACTCAGAAGAGATTCAGTATGAAATCCTTAGAGGTATACTACACAGTGCTTCAGTGCACACTAAGCAATGAGGTCAAAATAAATGAGCAGCACCTGTATACAAACATGTTTGTGATCATCTGACTCAGAAGTCAAGAAATACACTCTCAGCATTTCTTGTTATATTTTTAAGTAATATAAAAAAAAATGTCTCTATTGAAGTATTCCACATGTAAAAAGTTTTAGAAATACAAACATGTCTAAGCCGATAAAAACAATTAAAGAGCAGTGATGTTACATTTTTACACTCCAAATTAGGAATCAGAGTCCTGCCTTTTTGTAGAGGCACCAATTCCCAAAATATTCCTCAAGGCTTTCGTGAAAACTTATTGTCTGTTCCTCTTGTCCCAAGTGCTCCCTTATTCCTCCAGAATCTTCACAGCATCCAGTTTACCCGAATGAAAAAAGCTTAAAAAAAACAAAAAACAAACAAACAATATATCCACAAACAAATCCCGAAAGCTCTGCTTGAAAATACAAGCAGCTCTGAGGGGAGCTGGTACTCCGGGATAAACAAAAAAAAAGCCTGCCCTTCTTCTCACATCGCTCCCCTCGCACTGACAGACACCCTCCTGGCAGAAGGTTTCATGCCCCGCCCCCGCTCATTATTCAGACAACATCTGCCACAACTCCATTTGTGCTCCGAGCTGCTCCGGCACATGTTGATTGGTGGACATGTGACCCTTTCCCCCCTCATTCTAATTCCCCCTCATTTCTCCTCGGCCCATATGACTTCATTTCTAAGCCATCCTCCACATCCTGACACAGTCACTCACTTTCCGTCTTTCTTCTTTCAGCGACTGAGAGAATGGGGAGGGGAAGCAGCACGCGCAAGCTTCACACACACACACACACACACTACACACCGAACCAGCTCTCACTGATGACATCACAATATGCTGAAACAGATACACGTTTTCCCTTTTTTCTCTCTTTGCCCTGCAGTCGCTGTGGACCCTGTAGATATTCTTAATTACAGTGGAATGCTGAGGGAGGCACAGGGCTCAGGTAATTTAACACCAGAAGCTGTGCCAAATGTGCGATAGGGCTTTTACATCCAACCAAATGAAGAAGAATAAAACAAGAGGAAACAGGAAGAAATAATAGGAATTTGTAGTTGATACCTTTTAGTTTTAAAGAGCTTTTTATATTCTTTGATCTTCAGACTACATAGAAAAAAAAAAAACTACTGATATTAACATTATTTAAACACAGTTTCTACACTGAAAACATGATTGCAATCTGGTTCTGCTAAAATGAATTTGAAAAACACTGGATTTTTAAGATTCTATGTTGTTTTTCACTGGCACTTCAGAAACACATTGACTTATTTTACCACTTGTAGTCAGCGCCACAATAATTAGAAAATCTCATTGTTTTCCAAGTTGCAAATAAAACCCAAGCAGAAGCACAACTGAATCCTGAAAGTAATATTCTCTTTCTGTTTGACTTTGAGATACTAACTGGTGTTTTTTTTCTTTTCTTTTTTTTTTTTTTTACAACAAAAGACATCATGTTTGTTGCTACATGCAGAAAAGGAATGTTCTCATTATCAGTAAATCAAACATAGCTACATGATATCAACGTAGTTTGCTAGAACTGAGATGAAAAAGGCTAAAAAATAAAAAAAATGTTGCATATTTTATTTTAAAATGGTTTGCTTCTTCATTACTATTTGTGGAAGCATTACTAAAGTGTACAGTCCATTTTCATCATGTACTTGCTATTCATTTGCTTTAAAATATAATCTTAACTTTTTATGTCATACTAAACTTTGACCAGATATTTCATTGGGTTTTTTTTATCTATTACCTGTTTCCATATATTTACGTGTAAAGCACTGTGAATTATGTCAGACACATTAAACACACTTGGATTTAAAATAAGCTAGGGAATAACACAAAGATGTAAAAGAGGCTAGGGTTTCTTAAGCCTGATTCTGTGATAGTGACACGGAGATGCCATACAAAGATGTAAGTATGCGCAGAAAACAAAGATTAGAAATCTCTGCTGAGTGGAAAACTCAAAGTAATCACCTTCCAGGAAGGATGATGCATCTCTGCTCTTACACTAACGGGCCTGCAGAAGTTTCAGGTTTCACCTGAAGGAAAATGTGTCATGATCCACAGAGCAGGATATAATAGATGGTTTCAGTGACACTTTGTTTCTTTCTTTTTATCCTCAACATCAGTGACTTAGAGTAGTAAAAAGTATGATTCAGGGGGTACAAATTCTTTTAAAGTTATAGAAGATCCTGATGTAATGTCTGAGCAGCTGAAAAAAGACTTGTACGCCCACACGCAGAAGTGTTGAGTCAGTACAACTGACCTTTACACACATTAAGACATACATAAACCAGGTCTGCTATGCTTTTGAAAAGTTATTAAGTCAAATAAACACACAGAGTCTCTCTCAAAGCTTAACCAAAAATGGTAACAGAAGAGTAAAATAAACGCAAATTAAAACTTATTTCATTTCTTTATCGCTAAGGCCTCCAGTCTGATTGATAAAAACAAAGTTGAGTCACTGTTTGCTTCCGATGTCCTCTCAAAACTAAATATTATCCACAACAAGGACTTTCCACAAGCAGCTGAGGCATGTATGACCTCTCAAACCCGTGGAGCGGCAGGACAAAGACTGGGTGTGCACAATAACGCCACTGCTGCTTAGCAACACTTTGAATCAATCACTTTTTCTGTGATTGCCAACAAAACCAAAACTCCACTCAAGAGACTGACACTTCCACCCCCACGCTACCTCAGTGATATTTTAATCCAGGCATGTGAGATAAAGGATAGTGTGAAGAGAGTCCAGAACACTCCTAGGATAAATTAAAAAACAAACAAAAAAACAACGTAGACGTAGCATCATAGAGCAGTCACTTACTGTTTACATTATTTTAGATTAATGTAATGTATTACTGTAAATGAAGAAGGCTTTCAGACTGTCACCCACATATTTAGGTTAATCCATTGACTGGAGGAATGGAGATAAATTTAGGGGACTTAATATGTTTCATATCTGTCTGCAAATTTTGATAATGAATAAACTCCTGACCCCCACATGTACAAAAGTAAAAGCGTAGCTGTACATGACAACTACC